CCCAGGCCCTCCCAGCTGGGCGCTCACCAGCTCCTCACATCGCCTCTGCTTCTTCCGGGCTTCCTGCTCCAGGCTCTCGCATTTCTTCCGCTTCTTGCTGAGCTCTGATTCCTGTGAGGTCAGAAAGGAGCTCCTCATGTGGGAAGGCAGATCCACCCAGAATGGGGGCTCCTCCAGCCCTCGACCTGGGACTTACCAGCTGCTGCACCCTCTGCTGTTTCTCTGGCTCCCCTAGGACCGCGGGTGGGTTTTCCACATCCTCCTGGGGCGTAGCCTGGAAATGGCCAGGGGCAGAGGGCTGGCACCTGAGAGGAGGGCCTCGGGGCAGCCTACCCCCAGCCCCGCCTGTCTGAGGGAGGCTCCCACCCCATCTCACGGTCAGCAAAGAGATCCCTGCCCGGGAAGTAGGGGTGCTGTCTGCCCCCCCCACCACATCCCCTCATCTCCAGCTGATGTGGAAGAGCAGAGGCTGCACCCCTGTGTCCTCCAGACACAGTGCTTTGAGATCCTGAGACCCATGCATGCCCTGGGAGATGGGTCCCTTATCCAGGCCAAAGCTTTCCCTTTTTAGCTTCCAGCCCTGCTCTGCACTCAATAACTGTCCTGGGTGTCCTTCAGCGACTGGCAGAGAACTAGGAGGCTGCCTGGGCCCCCAGGGATGTGGTGTCCCCAGAGCTAAGGGTTATGGATCCATAGAATCTGGGCTTGGCCCAGAGCCTGCAGACCTGGCCAGACCCTCCTCCCAGATTCCACCAAGCCCACCCTATTGCACGTCCCAGTTATCCGTGCAAACTCCGGAGGAGGACAGGTCTTGATGGGCGATGCATCTCCCTCTCTGGGCCAGGCAGAGGGGCAAAATCTGAGCAAGAAGCATCCCACACCCTGAGGCCTTGGCCGTCAGGAGGTCCCTTCTCCCTCCCCTCTTCCCGGAAGGAGGCGGACCTAAGTGCTGCCCAGTACAGAGGATGGAGAGGAGCCAGACCTCTAAGTCCTGGGGGTCCGGAGCGGGGTCCCTAGCCCTCGGACCAGGGGCCACCTCAGCCCGGCGCCCAGTGAGGGTCGCCCGTACCTGGAGCTGGGGGCGGACACACTTTCGCCCCCGAGTAGCCGGGCCGGGCCTGACGGACCGGGCGGGCGCTGAAGGGGGCGTCCCCGCGCTGCGGCGGCTGCGGCGGGAGGCGGCGGCGCGGGCTGGGCCCCGAGTGGCTGCCAGGGCAACCGGGGATTTGCAGCCGGGCCGTACCACTGGCGGCACGGCAGGGGCGG